TGCTACCGGAAGTGAATTCCATTGGCCGATCGATGCATATGGCCATAAAATACGAAGTTACTTCATGCTAGATGAATTATTGCATGAAAAAAAGTTCTGAAAACGGAGATAAGTCTTCGGAAAGCGATATTGACAAACAGAAGGTCTTGTACTAGAATTTTGGGTCAGATATACCCGCCGTCACGCCCGTCAGTAGTGCTACTCGATTAACCTATCACATGCCAACAACAAAAATTGCAACAAGTTTACAAGGTTGACTGCAGACGATAAACCCGCACCCTCAGATTAGCAAAGCGGATTATAACGTCTGGCCATTGCGGACTAACAACACAGACAAGCTTTTGTGAGCCTTTTTCGTGGAGCATTGGGGGACAGGTGTAGCTTACGAAACCTGGCATAAAATGTTCTATAGCCCTGCGGCAACTGTACGCGGGCTATAGTACTAGAGCTAATGTTGAACGTGATCATTGATAATTTGATATCGATGTGACTCATTGACTTGTGCTACTAGCTATGTACGACAGTAACTGTACGTAAGCATCACCATAACCCAAACGAATGAATGAATTGTACACGTTGGCGTGTATTTTAAATGTTTCACAATTACCATTTACGCCCATGTCTACTCAGCAGTCTCAAAGATTACTTGGTACGGATGCTCGTGAACACAGTTAAAAGCATGTTCGTAAAATCAAATGAAAATGTGAGGCGAATTTTCAAACACAACACCAAACAGATCACCGCGGCGGAAGTGTTTCTAGGCGCCACCTGCGGTGTCAAATATAGTTTCCCGTCAACCATATAGACCATCCATCCTGATACCATCATGGTTTTGTAATAGCAGAGCTTAAGTTATTTAAGTGCTCTGGTATAGTATATATCAAGAGCGAATAATATTATTAGCGTATATTAGCTTGATTATATCTATGGTACAACCAAAATATGATCAAAATAACGATTCGATCTCTATTCTCACCAGGCCTCATATAGAACGCAACGCGTTACTTTTTATTTGGCCCATTATAATAAATAAAGTGAAAAAAGTTGGCTGGGCCAATTAAACAATAATCAAAAATGTGTGTTATTTATTTATTCGATCATGCCGTATGTCTCTAAAGCGCATTGATAATCGCCAGTATTTGATATGAAATATTTCTAAGCAAATATCTCCACCATCGAACCAAGTATCACTATATATAGCCATAAGCGAAAGTGCAACTGTTAGTGCATGCACCCATGCAGTATTTCTAACAAATAAAATGTATTTCTGTTTAAATGGGTATACTTTTGAGATAGAATTAAGCACATAGCCTATAACTCGTGCGGTTAGCTTGTAGCGTGGAAAAATAAATTTCAGTGCTGTCATATTCCATTGTACTTATTTATGTTGCCTTGCGTAAACGCTCCACTCCTAGAAATATATTAATAGCTGTGCTTTCATACTGTGCTTTGTAATAACACCACTGATTCATAAAGGTGTTCCACTGAAGTTGGGAACAATAATAAGATTTAAATCAGCAATAGGTGGCGATACGTGGCTACCATCATTTCTTTAGCACATGCACATCAGCTTTCATCCACTGATCACAGTACACCGCTCAGTGGGTAATCTATTCTATTATGTCTTGGTATTATAATTTAATGCCATGGTGCATCATTTTTTAACAACCATATTAAGCTAAAAGTCCAAAACGTCAGTAGGAGCTAGTTACTTGGAAAATTTACAATATCACCCGCTGTAGGCCTAATATCCATTGCAAGGCCAATTAAATTATGTACTTATTACATTTACGATGTAAAGATCATATTTTCGGCGAAAGGACAGAAAGAGGCCAATTTACCAGGGGAAACGCCGGGATTTCATTCCAGCCTGACAGGTTCAAAATATGAAATTACCTAAGTTCGCGGTAAATTTAAATTTAAATTTAAATTTACATTCACAGAAAGCCACGAGCATTTCTCGATTGATAAATTTTCTGCGTCCAACGGTAGGTACTATACCGTTCAGTCAACTACGAATATTCAAGCTGGCGTCACTCCTTCGACAATACAATTTACTTGCGTCCATACCCATTATCATGCACATTATATGAACCGGGCCAAAGAATTTTTTTACTACTTCTATTAATCAAACTGATCACAGCAACTACTACTGCTACTATACTTGGCTGCTGCATACTATACTACTAACTACACTACTACTACTACTACTACTAAGTAATAATAATATAAGTAACTAGAGCACTCGAGAGCAGAGACCATCCGCAAGGCAGCCAAAATTCTCTTCAATGTGAAATTTTTATTAATTAATTGTCCATAATTAAGTGAAAAATTAATAAATTTAATTAATAATTAATTGGATCGCGGATTAGTGCGAGCGTTGCAGGTGGGGAGGACTGTGTGCCCCTTAGCCTGGGTTGCGTGTTTCGTTAAGTCTCAGCGCGACTAGCGGAGCTGAACTGAAACGTGCCATAGTTACAAACGCACACGAACATTCAAACACGACGCACGGTGAAACATATACCTCCGCAGCCCTGGCAGGAGGTAATAATTGAAATAGATGATTAAGTAATCGCGAGCTGTAGCATACGACCACCGTTCGTGCACCGTATCGCCACGGCCAGCGCACCAGTGCATGGTCACGGAATTGAGTTGCGTGGTGGTGTTTGGTGGTGGTACGAGATCACACACCACCGCACGCACCACGCTGGACCTGCACCTACCAACTACCGGTTGTTGTTGTTCGCGTAAAGTCGATCCTTACCGGCCTAGCATATACAGGACCTCACCAAACCCGCGTCACACCCACCATCACTCACCACCACCACACCAGCACACGCATACGCGATCCACACCACACCACACGACCACGACACCCGCCACACACACATCCACCAACCCGAACAACACAACAACAACACCACTCCACCACACCAACCCACCACCACCACCCCACCACCACACCACCATCCCATCATCCGTCATCTCACCACCACCGTACCAACCACATCACACCCCAGCCAGCAACACAACACAACAACAACAACAACAACAACAATTGCAAGCAAAAATTTCCTTTTAAAAAAGAGTTCGCCTTTAAAAATGGGCGTGATTTATAAAATAACTAACTATTCAGATTGCATACACATAGACTGAAAAATCATCTTGCGGGTGTTTCATTTAAAAAATCAAAGAGAGCCCCTCCCCCCCCCCCCCGCCCGGGTCTCACAACCTTGCAGTTGCTCGCAAGCGCCCCTTTCTTCAAGTCCTGGATTCCCTCCTGCCAACAGTGCGACTAACTACATAACTGTATCAATGTTCGATACGAGAGATAACGTATGTATACAATTTTATTTCACAAGAATATGCTTACTTTGGCACTATAAGTAAGGTGACGACCGGTTCATAGTTGACATAGATTAGTAATAGTATCTATCTAATAGATATATATATATTATATATATATATATATATATATATATATATTTATTTATTTATTTATTGATATATATATTATATGGCAAATTGCCGAGTTTGCTTGCGCAGATGTAAACGCAATGCCAAGTGCAGAATGACTAGAGTGGCATCATGTGGCAAAGTACTTCATTGACACACGAGGTACGGCCAGCAACCAGAGTCCTAAAAATTGTAAGACTAAATTCGTGAAAGAAAATACAAAGTCGCATAGTTTTAATACAGTTTTCGGTATATTTACCTATCTAGTGTTATGTGTCTCGCTGCGCGCGCGTGTGCGTGCGCGTGCGTGTGCGCGTGCGTGTTGGCTTATGTGTATTGTGTGTGCGCGTGTGGAAGCGCGTGTGTAGGTCACTGATCTCTACTATACTAACGTTATTATACTATATACGTTAGTATAGTAGAGATCAGTGGTGTAGGTGCGTACGTCTGTGTCAAACTCCACGACAGATGGCGCTCTCACTCTGGCTCAATTCACTTAGTTGTATCCTGAGTTGTACGAAGGGGGCGCTGCATGTAGTTTGCGTCTGTATATATATATATATATGTGTGTGTGTGTGTGTGTGTGTGTGTGTGTGTGTGTGTGTGTGTGTGTGCGCGCGCGCGCGCGCGCGCTCGCGCGTGTCCGTGCGGTTTTGTGTGTTTGGGTGTGCTTACGTGTGTGCCTGCTCGTGCGTGTAGTCAAATATTCCTTAAATGTGTAATTCGTAATAGTGTAATTTTGGACGCAACGCGATGAGTGTGAGAGGCCGTCAATGGGCAATCGTATAGAAGGACACTACGACGATAAAGGTATCTATAAAAAGATAGCTTTACTCTGTGTACAGGAGCACGACAGACGTGTCGGCGTACCTATGACCTGTCCGTCATACTACCTGAAAAATTCCATGTCAAGCTTGGCTGCTTCTAAACCAGGACCACTAAGGTCACAGCTACGCACACACATACGTGTGTTCGGCTAACATCGCGTATACGCCCATCTGTTCTCGTGTGACATGACGTCACTGCATTACAATAGTTAGATACACCGTTACAGGTTCATAAACCGTGAGTAACAATGACGCCACCCGCCACGGACAAGAACAGGAATGGTACGATAGCACTCCGCCGGGAGATCGGTCTGTGGAAGGCGTCATCGTACGTCGTCGGTTCCATCATTGGCTCTGGTATCTTCATATCACCGGCAGGAGTGCTGAGACAAGCCGGCTCGGTCGGTTGGGCGCTGGTCGTGTGGGCGTTGTGTGGCGTGTTCGCTATGCTCGGTGCGCTAACCTATGCAGAATTGGGCACAGCCATCCCCAAGTCCGGCGGAGACTACGTTTACTGCCGCAAGGCGTTCGGTAGCTTCCCGGCTTTCGTGCTTGCACTGTGGAGCAAGATTATATTTATAAAACCATGCGGCCTAGCCATCATGGCACTAACGGTCGCGGAGTATGTTACGCAACCGTTTTACACGGAAGGTCACGGAGCTCCGAGTCTTGCCAAACAGCTAATAGCAATTCTTGTCCTCTGTGAGTATAGATACCGGTATTTCTTTGTACGCGTGCGTGCGTGCATGTGCGTGCCAGTATAAAGATTAACCATACTCCCATCACTTACACCTAGCAAAATTGTGTTAATGCTCTAAAAAGAGTGTGCCATTTTCCAATCGTATAAACTCAATAATATTAGCCCACCGAAAAGCTCTCGGTTATGGGTGGCTCATAATATTTTGTTAACGTTTTTTTATTTCATTTTTCTAATTTTTTCTCTTTATTTCATTTAGTTATATTATTTCATTTTATTCAATCTATTAAATATATTGTATCCGGAGGGCTCGCAGTATTGTACCAAATTTCTTCCGAATCATAACAAACGCATATCTATTTGCAAGGACTACGTCGAATTTTCTGGGTATGTGTTTTACGATAGTACTGTTGACCTACATCAACTGGTTACGAGCCACTCTAGGAAGCGGGTTTCAGCTCATTACCACCATTGCTAAACTCGGAGCGATAGTTGCAATCGTTGCTATCGGAATTGTGTGGCTGTTTAAAGGTAAGTAACTTTATTGTATTTCGTAATTGAGCTATTAATTATATCACTTGTTAATGTAAATATTAGTTTGCTTCTATTATAATTATTGCTGTATATTTAATTCAATTAGGTATCATAAATTTTAAGTAAAATCACCTGAATAAAGCTAATAATAGCGTCTTATCTTACAATCGTATTCGTATGGACATCTCATACATTGTCGTCACGGGTATGCAATGCAGGACATACAGAAAACTTCGAACACGCGTTTGAACCGAAACCTGAATCTGTCTCCGCCGTGGCGCTGGCATTTTATTCTGGTCTCTGGGCGTTTACCGGTTGGTATGTGCATAGTATACATCACAAGCGGACTCTTTGTAGGAAGACATACTCCGCCTAATTCCGAAGTCATTTTAAGTTAACATGTCTAAATAACTGACTTAATAATCAGTATCTTCTTACACGTATTACATCAAGAGTGGATAATAGAGATCTCTATTATCCACTCTTGATTACATACATACATACATACATACATACATACATACATACATACATACATACATACATACATACATACATACATACATACATACATACATACATACATACAATACATAACCATACAATAGCATTACATTCATACATACATACATACATACATACACGTACATACTGACATACATACATACATACAGTACATACATACATAGCAACATACATAAAGAATCCATACATATCATATCATACATACAGATTACATGAAAAAAAAAAAAAAAAAAAATACATACATAACATACATACATACATACAGTACATACATACATACATACATAAATACATACATACATACATACATACCCTACATACATACATACATACATTACATACATACATCAGTACATACATATCATACTATACATCACATACATACATAACATACATACCATACATACATACATACATACATACATATCATACATACATACATAAGCATACATAACATCCACTACATACATACATACATACATACATACATACATACATACATACATACATACGAGGATTCGATAATATGTCGCTATTGTCCGCTCACACCTAACGTATAATCACAGACGACCACAAACGCCAACCGCGCAGCACACTCTGGACGCGCTCATCGCACACACACACGACACACGCACACACAGGCCAACACACGCACACGATGCAACGAAACCACCACACGAGTCCACGCGCACACACACACCACACCGCGCACCCGCACACGGGTATTCACGCACGACGCCACGCACGCACCAGCACCACGACACACACAACGCAGTTAACACACACACAACGCATGTAGCACCACACACCACACACACACACAACACACACACACCCAGACACACAACACACCAGCACACCAAACACACACACCACACACACACAACACACACATACACACACACACAGCACAAACACACACATACACACACACGACACACACCCCACAACAATCACACACACACACCACACACACACACACCGACGCTCACGCACCGACTGCAGAGCACACTAGACGGCACGCAGGACACCAGACACACGCATTCACACACGCACATACCCACACATAAGCACATGCAAACGCACACGCGCAGATACGTGCATCCATAATTCGGATTCAGATATTGCGCGGATTCGATAATATTGTCTAAAGGTTATCGCTCACATCTACAGACACAGACGCGAGCACACATACACACGCACAGGCACACACACTCACACACGCACATACCCACACATAGGCACATGCAAACGCACACACGCACATACGCGCGTCCACACGCACACGCTGGCGATTAACTAAGAAATGAAAGGAATAGAAAATAATAGTTCTTGAATACGAGAAATTTTGGATCCTTTGCAACAAAAGTAGGTCAATACGAAACTAATCATGTGCTGTACCTTTTGTTATAACTTGTTTTCTAGGGACGCTGCTAATTATGGCATCGAAGAAATAAAGAATCCAACAAGGTATACAGAGTATAATTACAATATACAAATAGCGCAAATGCCGAATCGCGATAGATTAATCTGCATGTCCTACAGTTACATCTTCACTGAAACACATTGTTTTTTTCGGATTGTCGCGCATTTACACGAACTCTTCCACCTTTCTTGTTCATGGTAATTGCTTCGCATCCGTCGCTAACGTGAGATGACCAACGTTGCGTACCACGCCATTACTCCACGCTACTGATTGGAGCTTGCTAAGCACAGTGCCAGTGCTGTGGTAAGAGAAATCGTTTATGCATGAGTGAATACGGTGAGTATGAGTATACCGTTGCAATTTTGCCAGCGTACCTGAGCGTTCATCGATGTGTGGCGCAAGTGCCAATATTCATGATCGAAAATTTCATTCAACCTCCTAAATGACAATATTTAAAAATCACACGTTATAAGTTATAGGCAGTTGTTGTGTAAAGGCTGGTTACAATAAGATAGCATGATAACCTGTCTACGCAGGCATTCGCGTTGAGGTTAGCGCCTCGCGAAAAATGGAGTTGGATCGCATCTGTGTTTTGTGTGTGATTTTCCGTGTAAGGAACCTATAAGGCGTCTATTGCTCACAGCAGGTAAACTCACTTACTTACATAAGGTAGGTTATTGTGATAGAATAAAAAAATCGAGGGAATAAAGAACCCGGCAAGCAGCTCTATATGACCAGGTAGACTGATTGCATTCCTCAATTTGAATCGCGTCAATATATCTTAAATCTTAACTGTTCGCTTGGCAGAGGAATGTGGTGTTGTAGAAGACATTACCTTAACACCATTGGAGTTTAATGAACTCTTGTCGCAGTTAAAAATTCTGGTTTTGTGTATCGGTTCCGTTCACCAGAGGTATGTTCGGTTGTGCGAGATCGGCCGGATCGAGCCAGCCCATCCCGCTTCCTCCGCGAACGATCAGTGTATAGCATAGATACACCGCCCCTCAACCGGCTTGAGTGTGCAATGCGTGAAGGCAAATTCGCAAATATTTCGTAAGCCGAAATAATGTTCTGACGAAGAGGCGATAGCTACAATATTTTAATAAATCGCTGTAAACAACATTGTAAATTTAGAAGCATTGTTGTTAAAACGGAAGTGCATTGTAACGCAGAAATAATGCATCCTTATACTGTCCTACTTTTTGGGAGGAAACTTGAAAACGCGGTGCGGTCTTGTGACTTGGTAAATCCGTAAGTTGCTCGTTGACGGCCAGAGTGGTGCACTGATCACCACAACTGTAATTCTGGCAGTGGAGCGTAATTGTCGGACTTTAATGGGTGGCGGAGTAGGGAAGAGGGAACGCTTTACACGTTCTGATGATTACACAGGCTTGCGTACCACGTGGACAGTCAGCTTTCAGTGTCAGTCACGGACACTTCTCTACATGCGATGGCGAGATCGCAGTGAAGACTGGCCCTTCAGGGTGAGGCGGATAGAGGCACATTAGGTGGAAATTGCTAATTAGGGTTAGGGTTAGGGTTAGGATGTATAAGTATAAAGGAATAAATATTAGGGATATCAACAAAACAAGTGCAGAGTATACTGGAAAGGAAAGCGAACGAGACGACGGCACAAGCAGAAGCCAACATCCACAGAATGTAGAAAGAAATTGAATGAATGCGTAATTAACATAGCGATAGACACTTAACATTTGCGCCTGGAATATCAACGGGTTCCAATAGATAACTTCCACTATTATCTTTTTAACTACCACGGAAATAATCGATATATCATTTCATATCATTGATGAAAACATTGTTTCATTAAAATTTTGACCGGAGTTTCCATACATTGCGTTGATGTCACGATATGTCGTTTAACTGTATTCATGGTTCTACGCTGCAGTACATTAGTTCATCTGCCAATTAAAGTGTTGTAATGTCTAAGTAATCTGGTAGTTAATGTTCTGTGTTGATGATGGGCCATATCTCACAAGTTTAACTACAGAGCTTGTAATTTCCAACCGTTTCCTTTACAGTTTCCCCTGATAGTACACGTAGCATTTATGCTGTGTGCGCTGTTTCTGGTCGTGGTGCCCTTCTGGGAGCAACCAATCAAGAATCTAATCGGAGTAGGATTCTTGGCCGTCGGGGCAATAGTCTATGCAATCTTCATAGCATGGAAGCCACGTGTACTAATAAAACTCAACGGTAAGTGTTTATGATTGTTATTCAAGCGAAGAGCCGCGTCGTTCATCCTGATCCGTCTGTTAAAACATGCAGCCTTATCAAATGTGTAGTAGTTGCACAACATTGCCTGAGCATTAAGCCGGTAGTATATAATGAAACAAGAATGATCAGCTTCACAACTTTTCTCACCTCAATTCTCGAAATTTTCTCCGCATTTCAGATGGACTTACAATCTTTTTCCAAGTGTTCTTAGAAACGTCCTTTACCGAAGAGTATGCGAAGACAGGGTCCGAGTAATTTGAAACATTGGAGTCATCTGGCAATATGACACTTTAGTGTTGACTCTACGGCAACGAAACCTAGGAAATCGTTCGAATGTTTACTTGCTTGCGTTGTTGATGTTTTATCTTGGCAAAAAAGTGTTTGTTAATGAGGAATTATGCGTTTGATGCCCATATATGAACGAGCCATTTTGGAAGAAATAGTAATCCTCTGTCTAGACCTTATCATCATTCTTCTCATGAATCGTTTTAGTGCTTTCATTGCGTTCCGGTTGACTTCTATGACCGAAATACACAAAATATATCTGATGTATTACGGATCCATGATAATTAAAATGGTTCAATCCAGCACCATGTAAATACCCACCACCATTCCCTCTACATTAAACACAAACACACCAACAACTCGCGCGGGCCCATATTATTGTAACTGTAAATACATGAAAACCAACTAATATTTTGTTTGACCGAGCATGCGCGAAGTCAAGTCTTAAAAAGGTTCGGGTAGATTTTGGCTCCTTTGTCTAAGATTATTTAAAGTGAAATGCGGATAGTTGTTTTGTCGTAACATTCTACTCATGAAGATGTGCTTTCTATCTAATCGTAAGTCAATCACATCGTAATTCAATTGGCGATTAGTGAAAAAGTACAAACAGAAATTCGGCAAGAGTAATTTGACATAAAAACGTCTCTTCCAATATTACCCTTTAGTACATACATGTATAAGCAGAGAGTTATATATACAACGCGGCACTATATGGAGCGCATATATAGATAAGGGGAAAAAATAATAGAAGCGGGGATAACAAATACTCAAATTGATCTAAATAAAATTCTTCTTACTATTGGACGAGCGCCACCACCACCAACTTTATTTACTACTTCTATTATCATCATCACCCCCACCACCACCACCACCATCACCACCACCACCACTACCACCATCACCACCACCTTCCACCACCACCACCACCACCACCACCACCAACACCACCACCACCACCACCACCACACCACCACCACCACCACCACCAACCCAACCACCCCCACCCCTCAAACACTCAACACGCACATCCAGACTCAACCCCATCAACACCCCAACCCACCACAAACACCACCAAACCGCACACACCCAGCACCACACTCTGACCACACCCGCATACCCACCCACACCAACCCCACCACCACACCACCACCACCGACTACCACCACCACCGACACCACTAACCACGAAACCCACCCACACCCTCACCACACCACAAAACATACAACAACAAAAAACAACAACAACTACCTACTAGAACTTATTACTAAACTTACCTGACTTACTACTCCACTACTACTACTACTACTTACTACTACATACTACTCAGCCTAACTACTACTGAAATAATACATAATTAATAATCAATACAAACACCGAACTACCACGTCGCAACCGTACCGCCACGGCCCCGGCCTAGCGCATCACCCCCCCCGCCCCTACCCACCCATCAACAACACACACCACCACCAACACCGCACCACCACCAACACACCAACAAACATGCACCAACACCACTAAACACCCGGCCGCCCCGCCGCCGCCACACCACCTACCCAACAACCAGACCCCGCACAACGACAAAATAACAACAAAAATAACAACAACAACAACAACCAACGCCAACCATGTGCAGGCATTCCTTTCAAAAATGTATTTGCCTTCAAAAATGGGCGTAATTTTTAAAATAAATTACTGTCAGATACATCAGAATTGCATTTGCGAGGTTTCGTTAAAAAATCAAAGAAACCACCCCTACCGCCACGGGTCTCACAAACCTTGTTGCTCGCAACGGCACCCGCCTTTCTTCAAGTCCTGGATCTCCTCCTAAACCAACAGTCGCCACTAACTACGCTAAACATGTATCAATGTATGCCCGTGAGGCAGAATATGTATGTATGCAGTTTTATCTTCAGACAAGAATGTGCTTACTTGCAGTACAGGGTAACGACGGTCATCAGTGATATGAGGTAAAGTAGCTAATAGTATATCATATATATTCTATATATATATACCACATATATCAATAAAACTATTTGTTTTTAGATGTGTTATTTACGCCACCCATATCCACCCGACCCAAATGGCAAATGCCGAGTTTGCCTTGCGCAGACCGTAACCGGCCAAGGGGAATTATCCATCCAAGTGCCAAAATATTAGCGTGCATCAATCGTGCAAAGTATTTTCATTGACACACGGAGGTCACGGCCAGCACGCAGAGTCCCCTAAAGATATGTAAGTACTAAATCGTGGAAGACAATACAAATGTGTGTGGTGTGTGTTGTGTGTGTGTGTGTGTGTGCTGTGTTGTGTGTGTATGTGTTGTGTGTGTGTGTGTGTGTTGTGTGTGTGTGGTGTGTGTGTCCGCTCTGTGTGTGTGTGATGTGTGTGTGTGTGTGTGTGCGCGCGCGCGTGTGTGTGTGTGTGTGTGTGTGTGTGTGTGTGTGTGTGTGTGTGTGTGTGTGTGTGTGTGTGTGTGTGACACGTTAGACGTATTCGACACATTTTGTTCATGTATGAGGTCAAATGTTCTTAAAGACTATATACGCAACAGGTGCAGCTATACGTATGGCCAATGGCGCTACTCGCTGAGAAAAAGAAGGATTATGGTACGATAGCACTCCGCCGGGAGATCGGTCTGTGGAAGGCGTCATCGTACGTCGTCGGTTCCATCATTGGCTCTGGTATCTTCATCTCACCGACAGGAGTGCTGAGACAAGCCGGCTCGGTCGGTTGGGCGCTGGTCGTGTGGGCGTTGTGTGGCGTGTTCGCTATGCTCGGTGCGCTAACCTATGCGGAATTGGGCACAGCCATCCCTAAGTCCGGCGGAGACTACGTTTATTGCCGCAAGGCGTTCGGTAGCTTCCCGGCTTTCGTGCTTGCACTGTGGAGCAAAATTATTTTCATAAAACCATGCGCCCTAGCCATCATGGCGCTAACGGTCGCGGAGTATGTTACGCAACCGTTTTACACGGAAGGTCACGGAGCTGCGAGTTTTGCCAAACAGCTAATAGCAATTCTTGTCATCTGTGAGTATAGATTTTTTTCTTCTTAGACCCTTCAGTCTCCTGGAAGACACAGGTCACTGGTGAACTTCCTCCATGTCGACCGGTTGGTTGCCTTCCGCTCCATTTCCCTCCATGTGTAGCCCTTCCTCTTAAGTTCAGCCTCTGAGTCTTGCCTTCCACCCCCGGTTGCTTTGGGTCTTTCCATTTGACGTCTTTCTTGCGAGTTCCAGCTCAGCGCCGTACGTGTAGTGTCCGTTGCTATCTTCTGCAGTGTGTGGCCCACCCAGCCCCATTCCCTTCTTTTGATTTGGGGTTCGATTGGGGTCTGCTTCGTTCTCTTCCAGAGTTCTTTATTTGTAATGGTGTGAGGCCAAAATATTCTGAGGATCTTCCTCAAGCATTTGTTAACAAAACTTTGGATTTTTTGGGTTATTTTGGCTGTTGGTTTCTATGTTTCGCAGCCATACATGAGGACGGTCTAAACATTAGAGTTGAATGTTTTTAATTTAGTTTTGAGGGTGATGGCACTTGTCTTCCAAACTTTGTTGAGCAATCTGAATGCGTCCGTTGCCTTCCCTATTCTGTCCTTGACATCTTTCTCGGCCCTTCAATTTTTGTCCAGAGCGCTACCTAAATAATTAAGATTAACTATTACTCCCAACACGTACACCTAGCATAATTGTGTTCATGCGCTAAAAAAATCTGCCATTTTCCAATTGTATAAACTCTATTTGCTCACCGAAAACCTTTCGGTTATGGGTAGCTAATAATATTTTTTAGTTTTTTTATTTCATTAAAATTTATTAAATATATGGAATCCTGAGGGCTCTCAGTATTGTACCAAATTTCTTCCGAATCATAACAAACGCATATCTATTTGCAAGCACTACGTCGAATTTTCGCTGGGTATGTATTTTACGATAGTACTGTTGACCTACATCAACTGGTTACGAGCCACTCTAGGAAGCGGGTTTCAGCTCATTACCACCATTGCTAAACTCGGAGCGATAGTTGCAATCGTTGTTATCGGAATTGTGTGGCTGTTTAAAGGTAAGTAACTTTATTGTATTTCATAATTGAGCTATTAATAATATCACTTGTTAATGTAAATATTAGTTTGCTTCGATTATAATTATTGCTGTATATTTAATTCAATTAGGTATCATAAATTTTAAGTAAAATCACCTGCATAAAGCTAATAATAGCGTCTTATCTTACAATTGTATTCGTATGGACATCACATACATTATCGTCACGGGTATGCAATGCAGGACATACAGAAAACTTCGAACACGCGTTTCAACCGAAACCTGAATCTGTCTCTGCCGTGGCGCTGGCGTTTTATTCTGGTCTCTGGGCGTTTACCGGTTGGTATGTGCATAGTATACATCACAAGCGAACGTTTTGTAGGAATATATACTCCGCCTCATTCCGAAGTCGTTTTAAGTTTAAATATCTAAATAACGGACTTATAATCAGTATTTCCCACACGTATCACATGTAACCTAGTACGAATATTACCTACAGGATTCGATAATATTGTCTTATGATTATCGCTCACAACCAAAGACACAGGTGCGAGCACACACACACGCTCACGCACATGCGGGCACATCCACACGCACTCACACACTCACATACCCACACATAGACACATGCAAACGCACACGCACACGCACGCGCATTCAGACGCGCACGTATACTCAAGCGGGCGATTAACTAAGAAATAAAAAAGGATAAGAAATAATAAGAGTTATTGAATATGAGAAATTTCGGATGTTTGATACGTCAGTATTATATGTCCATCAGGTAGGGCAATACGCAAGCAATTATGTGCTGTACCTTTAGTTAATTTTTTTCTAGGGACGCTGCTAATTATGGCATCGAAGAAATAAAGAATCCAACAAGGTATACAGAGTATAATTACAATATACAAATAGCAAATGCCATCGCGATAGATTAATCTGCATGTCTACAGTTACATCTTTCACTGAACACATTGTTTTTTTCGGATTGTCGCCATTTACAGAACTCTTCCACTTTCCTTGTTCATGGGAATTGGCTTCGCATCCGTCGGCTACGTGATGACAAACGTTGCGTACCACGCATTACTCACCACTGATGAGCTTCTAAGCAACAGTGCAGTGGCTGTGGTAAGAGAAATCGTTTATGGATGAGTAATACGGTGAGGTATGAGGTATACGTGCAATTTGCCAGCGTACCTGCGTTCATATATGTGGGCAAGTGCCAATATTCATGATCGAAAATTTCATTTACTCCTAAATGACAATATTTAAAATCACACGTATATAAGTTGATAGCAGTTGTTGTGTAGGCTGGTTACAATTAAGATAGCATGATATTGTCTTACGCAGGCATTCGCTGAGGTAGCGCTCGGCAAACAATGGAGTTGGATCGCATCTGTGTTTGTTGTGATTTCCGTGGTAGGCTCTATTAATGGCGTCCTATTCTCAACTAGCAGGTAAACCTCAACTATACTTACATAAGGTAGGCTTATTGTAATAGATAACAAATCGAGGGAATAAAGAACCCGCAAGCACTCTATGACCAGTGTAGACGTGATTGTCATTCCTCAATTTGAATCGCGTCAATATATCCTTAATCTTTTAACTGGTCGCTTGGCAGAGGAATTTTGTTTTAGAAACATTACGTTATCCACCATCGATTTAATTAACCTTTCGCATTAAAATTTGGGTTTTGTTATCTCTTCACAGAGGATTCTTTGCAGGATCCCGGGATCAGCAGTTTCCCTCCTTCCTCGCAACGATCAGTATACATAGATACACCCCTCAACCGGCTTTGATGGCAATCGTAAGCAAATTCGCAAATATTTCGTAGCAGAAATAATTTTGACGAAAAGGCGATAGTACATATTTTAATAAATCGCTGTAAAAATTGTAAATTTAAGCATTGTTTAAACGAATGATTGTAGACGCAAAATAATCATCTATACTTCCTATTTTTGGAGGAAATTGGAAACGCGGCTCTTGTACTTGGTATAATCCGTATTCTCTTTGACGCCCGAGTGTGCACTGATCACTCAACTTAATTATGCAGGGACTATTGTCGACTTTAATGGTGGCGATAGGAGAGGGCAACGTTTACACGTTGATGAATTACACAGGCTTCGTACAGTGGACAGTCAGCTTCGTGTCCGTCACGGCACTTCTTTACATGCGATGGCGAGATCGCAGTGAAGACTGGCCCTTCAGGGTGAGGCGGATAGAGAGAGGCGCACTAGTCAGAAATGGCTAATTAGGCAAATGTTAGGGATATTAGCAAAACAAGTAAGATAGTGCAGAGTATACTGGAAAGGAAAGCAAACGAGACAACGGCACAATCAGAAGCTTCCAGCTAGCCAACATCCACAGAATGTAGAAAGAAATTGAATGAATGCGTAATTAACATAGCGATAGACACTTAACATGTGCGCCTGGAATATCAACTGGTTCAAATAGATAACTTCCACTATTATCTTTTTAACTACCACGGAAATGATCGATATATCATATCATATCAATGACAGAAACATTGTTTAATTAAAATTTTGACCGGAGTTTACATACATTGCATTGATGTCACGATATGTCGTTTAACTGTATATCGTGATATCGTATATATGTGATGTCGTTCTACGCTGCAGTACATTAGTTGATCTGCCAATTAAAGTGTTGTAATGTCTAGGTAATCTGGTAGTTAATGTCCTGGTGTTAATGATGGGCTATCTCACAAGTTTAACTACAGAGCTTGTAATTTCCAACCGTTTCCTTTACAGTTTCCCCTGATAGTGCACGTAGCATTTATGCTGTGTGCTCTGTTTCTGGTCGTGGTGCCGTTCTGGGAGCAGCCAATCAAGAATCTAATTGGAGTAGGATTCTTGGCTGTCGGGGCAATAGTCTATGCAATCTTCATAGCATGGAAGCCCCGTGTACTAATAAAACTCAACGGTGAGCTCATAGTTGTTGGACTGATCCCACGATATCTTAAATAATGAGTGATTATGCAGCTGCTCTAACACAGTGTGGTAAATGATAACAGTAGCATTGCACAGAAGCGTTGAGTATTATGTGGGTAGTAGATATCTGGAAATATCGGAACTATCAGCGGCATATAAGTTTCTGTGAAATTTCTACGATTTTCGTAATTTTGTTCGCATTTCAGATGGACTCACAGTCTTTTTCCAGCTATTTTTAGAAACGTCTTTTTCGGACGCCTATTTGAAGACAGAGACAGATGATTTTGAAGCACCGGCATCACGGGGAAAACGCACATTATAGAATTGGCTAGAAATGTATGGCAGCTCAAACATCCAAAATTACCATTGTTTATTGAGTGTTAATTATAAGTACGATTTCAACGATGTGGACAAACTCTTAAACTGCACATCCGAAAATGTTAGCTTTAGTCCAGGAAAGCAGTGTGAAATTTCACGTAGGTATACGAGAGGTGGCGCTATTTTCGAGTTTTGATCTAGGAAACACGTATTATTGGTATTTTGCAACAGTAGAGGGCGTTCAGGGCAGATCAGGCCTGAATAAGCATGACCCGAATATGAATTGAAAATAATCGAGTGTTATGGTGCATACACAACATAAACTTCCTTGATGCTAAATGACCAGAAATTCAAAGTAAAGACAAGGGGCGGATCCAGGATTTGAAGAAAAGGGGGCGCCATGCAAGCAACGAAGTTGTGAAGCATGTGGCGAGGCTCCTAGCAAAATGGTTTTGGAACCTCGTAGATGTAATTTCCTGTTTGTCTACTTTGGAAGACAAACACACAACAAATTATACTCATATATATATATATATATATATATATATATACATCTGGCGATCAAATGCGTCTACATTACCAAATTTTATCTAGTTAATGTATACTACAAAAACTACTGCATGGCACCAGATTTGGTTGATATTATTGTTTGCTTGTGTTTAATATTTTGTTTTAATCGCCTACAGGGCGTGAAGCTTTATTGGCTTTGACTGACGAAAAGTAACGCCACAACAATAGACGGCAAAATGTTACTTGGCAAAAAATAGGGGGCGCGCGAGGCCCATCATACTTTTCATGCGTTCTAGATTACTATAGTCGTATATGTGTATCGTATATGTGTATATATACATTACTTGTATAGTGCCGATTTATGAACTGTAATGCCGCATATTTACCACAAAAACTGAGAAAATAGCATTTTACAGACACAAAGTAGTAACAAATAGTAACAAATAGAACAATAGTAACAAATTCTAAAAATTGTAACAGATAGTAACAAATAGACACAAATAGTGGAACATTGTTAAACAATTGGCGGAAGACTAGTGTTGCTTGGCGCGTAAATGAGAGGCGTGTTTGTTTGGGCGGATCACATGATCCGTAGCAAGCGGGCCTATATGAACTGACCGTTTGTTGCTACTTGCGAACCATTCTGTGATAGATCACAGCGACGTTTGATACGTTGGAGGCGAGTTTGCAATTGTTTGGATAGATGATGATCAATTGATTCAGACAGGTCCGCTCCAAACAAACAGTCTCGAAGATCCACCGGCTACTGTATGTGCGTACTATGTTATATGTACAAAGTCCAAAGGCAAGGGACGATTTCATTATATCACTTGCGTAGACACGACTAGATACAGTTGATGGAAAATTATGCTGGTTTGTGAGACGATTAGTCCTGTACTATACAATGATATGAACAATTGAAGGTATAAACTAGTATTCGTCAAACTGTGAATTTAGAATAAATTTTTAGAATCTAATTAGCGTCATTAACACATTTTACGCAGTCATGGAAATCCATACACCTAGGTGGATGGCTGTATTCCTGGTGTTTGTAGTAGCATCACCATGCGTGAAGAATGTGCATTCATACGCAGTGAGCGAAGGTAGGAGTTTGTCATATGATCCATCTACAAGCAATGTAGCAGTTGATATAGTTGACTCGCCCTCAAAGAGTAAGCTACTGCCACATATTCCGAACCTGAAGACATCAGCAACCCCTGGCGTGCAGCAGCAAGCAGTGAAAGACCTTATTGGGCGACTATTGCCACGGCGTTCTGCAGAATTCATCGTCACGGTGAACGCGACAGTAGGACCAGCTGATCGGCTGACCTTCGTGATTGAGACGCGCTCTACATCAAATGGCTCCGTCCAGGTTTGCATCACGGGCACAAGTGGCGTGGCTGCTGCTGGTGGCGTCAATTACTACCTCAAGTACTTTTGCCATGCCCATGTATCCTGGTCTGGAGACCAGTTGAACTTACCGACCCCACTGCCACAGGTACATGAGAAGCTGGTAATGACGTCACATGATACGGTGCGCTACTACCAGAATGCTTGCACGTCCAGCTATACATTTGCCTGGTGGAATTGGGAACGGTGGGAACGGGAGATTGACTGGATGGCGCTGAATTCCATCAATTTACCACTTGCCTTCACTGGTCAAGAAGAAATCTGGTACCGGGTGTTTACGGCGATGGGGTTCAATGAGTCTGAATTGGCGGACTTCTTTACTGGACCAGCATTCTTAGCATGGGGTCGCATGGGAAACATACAAGGATGGGGTGGACCGTTACCACGCTCATGGATAAGAGAACAGTTTTTACTCCAGAAGAAAATTCTGACTAGGATGAGGGAGTTCGGCATGACTCCTGTGCTGCCAGCCTTTGCTGGTTTTGTTCCACGTGCAATGAAGGATAGGTTTCCACAGGCTAATGTGTCAGTGCTGGACCCAGATGGCTGGAGTAATTTCCACGGGAAATATTGCTGCATACTATTTCTTGACCCTTTAGACCCACTGTTCATCGAGATTGGCTCAGCGTTCATCACGGAAATGACACGCTCATTTGGAGTAGATCATGTATACAATGCTGATACTCTGAATGAAATGGTCCCTAGTTCGAGTGATCCCAGCTTTCTCGCAAATATAGGCAAATCTGTATACAAATCAATGACATCTGTCGATCCCAGAGCAATCTGGCTTGTTCAGGGCTGGATGTTCTTCAGTAGTTCTGAATTCTGGGAGCCAGAGCAGGCAAAGGCATTTTTGACATCCGTACCACAGGGCAAAATGTTGGTGCTTGATTTACAAGCGGAGCTTTTTCCTCAATATCCGCGGCTAGAATCGTTCTATGGTCAACCGTTTATCTGGTGCATGCTGCACAATTATGGCGGTGTATTGGGAATGTATGGCGCAATTAATCAGACTATTGAGGGGCCGAACAAAGCTAGAACATTTCCTAACAGCACTGTAGTAGGCACAGGCGCAACCCCAGAGGGCATTATACAGAATGTCGTCATGTACGACCTGTTATATGAGTTGGGTTGGATGGACGAAGTTAACGTGACTGAGTGGGTACAGCAATATGCTTGGAGAAGATATGGTATTCAGTCACAGCTGATGATCCAAGCTTGGCATGATCTTGTTTCAACAGTTTACAATTGTCAGAATAATCTTAGACACCACGGAAAGTATATTATTGTTCTCAGACCATCCCTTACACGTACGCAGTTAGTTTGGTATGATGTACCAAAGTTCCTACAGGCATGGGATGTCTTTATTTCATCTGCGGACATATTGAAAAATGTCTCCACTTTCCGTTATGACCTAGTTGATACAACCAGGCAAGCTTTGCAACTAATAGCAGCTTATCATTACACGGAGCTTGTGGCAGGTTATCATTCCGGATCTGTTCCCATTGTGCGTGATGCTGGGAATAAACTACTTTTGGCACTTGACAATCTAGAATTGATTCTAGGTACAAATGAACATTTTCTACTAGGTAGATGGCTCGAGTCTGCGAAGTCGCTTGCTACTAATGAGTATGAAAGTGCGCTTTATGAATATAATGCAAGAGTGCAAATAACTCTGTGGGGTCCAGAAGGAAACATATTAGATTATGGTAAGAAACAATGGGCAGGACTTATCTCTCATTACTACAGACCACGTTGGCAACTGTTTGTGGACATGTTACAACAATGTCTTGCGAACGGTGATAGTTTTAATCAGACAGCCTATGACGATGCCGTTTTTACAAATGTGGAAGAGCCTTTCACATTTGCTACAGATCGTTTCCCCATAGTGCCAACAGATGACTCTGTTGCGATTGCTAAGGATATCCACGCATATTACGCATCAGAGTGGCGCAACGATGTCGAAGAGGTGGTGTTTACAAAAATGTACACTGACTACGAAAATTGGCGCATGTTTCTCAGTGAGAACGATAAGTTTCACGACCTCTTATAAATACTTAGCCGACAGTAAGCGGTTATTGTAGAAGTGTAGATGTCTTCATATTACATATACTGATAAAAATAAACGGTAAGCAGATAGTTGGTATGCGAGCAGAGTATTGCGCCGTACGGTCTGCACCGATTACACGAAATATGCCACCGCAATACGCGTCACCTTATAAAACGCTGTAAACTCTGTTCAAACGTAGGGGAAACTATAGCTTGTACTAATTATTGAACATCAAGTTGACTAAAAATGTGAAAACATGAGAATTATCAACCGTTTGAGCTTTTCCCTTTTGATATATCCATTGGCTTTCGTAATTTTGGTCGTATTTTAAATGGATTGACCGTCATTTCCCGTCGATTTTAGAAATGTCCTTAACGTCGTCTTTCACAACATTCCTCTGCGAATGTAGAGACATGACAATTTGACAAACGTCAGAGGCTCGTTGTTAAATTGGCTATAAACCTAATGCAACGTAAATAGTATTTAAATGTTTATTCGGTCTGATGTTGCGGTTCCATCTTTAGCAGTCTTTTGCGTTTCACCGTTACTGTAAAATTAGGGGGTTGGGTGTAAGCGCATATTTCTCACGTTAAATAAGGCTTAAATGCCTACGTGTAATTCGTTAAATGAAAGAAATAATGAAAGGTAACATGGGAAAAGTTGTGTGTGCTATTACTTAATGTTATTAAGGAAAATTGTGTTTAAATAAAGCGAGGAAGTTGCCGTAAATCTGAAGTCTGTTTTTGAATATATGTTTCGACATTCCGACAAAGTCTGTGAATCGTTCCATCTACTTCAAGTGTTAGCTCAGCAGTTAAACGGCTCCTAATCAGTTTCTACTTAAAACTGTGTGTCACGTCGTCCTTACCGCTGCCAGCACTTTCATGCATCGCCGCCAGCACCCGGTTCTTGCAACGCTGTTGGGCTGATAAGCCGCCTAGTACGCTACCACACTAATACACATACATAAGCAACATAACGTTTCACCTTTAATGTCGGATACGATATGTTTTTTCTTGCATATATAAGTAAATAAGAGAAAACGTCAACGAGCAAGTTCACACTGCTGCTATTTCTGAGGGTAAGGGTAGTTTAATACACCTCCTCGTACTTATGCAAGGCTTTTGAATATATATAATAGTATGATATATATATATATCATTATTATATATATATATATATAATATTGGTTGGCGTTCTGAAATGGAAAAAGCCTGTCTGCATTATTATACTGAATATTCAGATATTCTTCTTCTTCACAGAGTATATAAAGACGGTGTAATATTCTTATTGCACTCAACGGTATCACGTGACGGCAAACGATAATAACGGAGTCGTTCGTATCGCACTCTATACGAGTGAAACTCTTATATTTGTTTGCTATGTCGAGTTATCCAAATGCGGCTCTGAATGTCTATGAAGTCAGGTGACGTTACATCGGCAGCACATGCAGCAAAATTGAGTTTTGCCTATCAAAATTGCTTTGGATTTTAAAACCAAGTAAGTTTCTTCTAATACTGGATGTTTGATGAAGGTGACCGATATTCGGTGAAGTGGTATATTATTATTTACTTTACATATATACTTTTTGACTGTCTCTCTGTGTATGCGCACGTGTGTGAGTGCGCGTGTGCGGATTAAGGCACGTATGAGTTTGCGTGCGTGTGGATGTACGTGTGTATATCTATGGATGCGCTTATGGCGTTATAGAAGCATATGTATTTTTATTTTCATATAATAAGGTAAAATGTTCTTAAGGACTATATACGCAACAGGTGCAGCAGCTATACATAATCCTACGTACCCCAACGCTAATGGCGCTACTCGCGGAGAAAAAGAAGGATTATGGTACGATAGCACTCCGCAGGCAGATCGGTCTGTGGCAGGCCTCATCGTACGTCGTCGGTTCCATCATTGGCTCTGGTATCTTCATCTCACCGGCAGGAGTGCTGAGACAAGCAGGCTCGGTCGGTTGGGCGCTGGTCGTGTGGGCGTTGTGTGGCGTGTTCGCTATGCTCGGTGCGCTAACCTATGCAGAGTTGGGCACAGCCATCCCCAAGTCCGGCGGTGACTATGCCTATTGCCGCAAGGCGTTCGGTAACTTTCCGGCCTTTGTGCTTGCACTATGGTGCAAGATGCTGCTGCTAGGACCAGGCGGCATAGCCATCATGGCGCTAACGTTTGCAGAGTACGCCACGCAACCGTTTTACGCGGAAGGCAACGCACCTCCAGGTGCCCTCAAGCAGCTCATAGCAGTCCTTGTCATTTGTGAGTGTATATATATACTATATATACTATACTATACTATACTATACTATACTATACTATACTATACTTATACTATAATACTATACTATACACATACTCTAATCTATACTTACAATACTATATGCTACATACTATACTATACTATAACATACTTCTATATATCTATCTATCTCTTTATACTATACTACTATACTAATACTATACTATACTATACTATCTATAGCTATACTATACTATACTATACTATCTATAGCTATACTATATCATAAAACTTAATATAATAGCTATATCTATGCTATACCCATATGACTATAGCTATCTAACTATGCTAGGTTGCTATGGCATGCGCTATGCTATCATGCTAATGCTATCTATACTATTACTATACTAACATACTCCTAGTGGCTATACTGATATAACTATACCTTACATACTATACTATACCTGTACTATACTATACCTAATATTAACTATATACTATATACTATACTTATAGCTGATACTATACTATACTAGCTATACTTACTATACTATACTATACTATACCTATACTATACTATACTAATACTATATCCTATAGCTATAACTATACTAATACTATACTAACATATATGACTATACTATTAACTATACTATACTATACTATACATCTAGTACTATACTATACATATACTAATACTATACTATACTATACTGTATACTATGATACTATACCTATATACATACTATAGCTATACTATACACTACATACTATACTATACATATTACTATAATATACTATGCTATATATACTATCTATACTATACTATACTATACTATACATACGCATTATACTATAACTATACTATACTATACTAATACTATACTATACTATACCTATACTATACTATACTATACCTATACTATACTATACTATAGCTATACATCTAACTGATACTATACTATACTATAACTATACTATAACTATACTATACTATAATCATATAAATATATATATATATATATATATATCGCGTATGTGTGTGTGTGTTTGTGTATGTGTGTGTGTGTGTGTGTGTGTGTGTGTGTGTGTGTGTGTGTGTGTGTGTGTGTGTGTGTGTGTGCGTCTCTGTCTGTGTGCGTGGTAGGAATGTGTAATCATTCTATTAAATTCTTCCTGTGCAAATAGGACACACTGTCTAGTTCAACCACATTGAATCTATAAGGTCGCAGTCATGTTCACTGTGTAATGTTTTTAGCATGTAAGTGCGTTGTTACCTTACATCAACCTGGTTACGAGCACTCTAGGAAGCGGGTTTCAGCTCATTACCACCATTGCCAAAGTTTCCGCTTTAATCGGAATCATCATCATCGACTGTGTGGCTGCTTAAAGTAAGAGATAGGGCGAGTGGAGAGGCGAGAGGGAGAGAGGGAGAAAGAGAGATAGCGCGCGATGAGAGCAAAAGCAGGTGCGCGCTAGTGATGTGAGCCGTAATGCGTTTATATATTATATATAATATATGTGTGTGTGTGTGTGTGTGTGTGTGGTGGTGTATGTGGTGTGTGTGTGTGTGTGTGTGTGTGTGTGTGTGTGTGTGTGTGTGTGTGTGTGTGTGTGTGTGTGCCTCGCGTGTGTGCGTGTGTGTGAGAGAGAGGGGGAGCGACAGAGAGAGGAAGAGTGGAGCCCGTTGTAAAAATCAACATAAATAGTTGTGATTATCATAAATATAAAATGTCACATTACAACATTTGCACGATACATTACCTCAAAAGTTATGACATTTTATAGCGTCATATCTATTATGATTTAGCCAATAGATTAATAGCATTATAACATCGGCCATGAGTACAAAATCCAATTTGCGCGACAATCCTGCACATTCTATACACTATATACTACACATTATAGCCGTATTAACAGAACACAGGGATAATACTATGTACGCGTAATCTTATATATTTCACAATAGTAATCGTTACATTTATCATGCAGGGCACACAGAAAACTTTGAGAATGCATTTCAACCGAAGCCTGAATCTGTTTCCAGCATGGCGCTAGCGTTTTATTCCGGCTTGTGGGCATTTACCGGTTGGTATGTTACATGGCATGTGATAGGGATACCATTTGTCTGTAACCCAGCATATACAGTACTTAACTGTTATTTCGTGTGCGACATGTCCACACACATAATGATAATATGCAAAATTTGATACGATCGCATCTACGATTAGGAGGTCATTTAGTGATCAGCAGTGTACTTTCAAAATAGCCTATTATATTATGCTCTCTCTCTTTCTTTCTCTCTCTCTCTCTCTCTCTCTCTCTCTTTCTTTCTCTCTCTCTCTCTCTCTTTCTCTCTCTCTCTATATATATATATCTCTCTCAAGACATTTGGTTTTTATTATTACTGTACTTTTTATTACTTTTTGTTACTTTTTCATTATTATTATACGCATTACTTATTTTTATTATTATTAAGATGATTTACTAATATTTCTGTCATGCAGCATGGATGGGGAGATTTGCCTTCAAAGTGTTTGGCGTAATCCGTGACAGAGATAGAGAGAAAAGGTTGAGTGAGTGTGAAAAATAGATGCCCGTGAAAATAATATTCGTACGCGCAGCTGGATACTATTGTGCTCCCCATAAACCGTAACTCACTCACGTAAGCATAACTCAACCGTAAGCATAACTCACAAGCGAGAATATTTTACATCTTAATTGAGTTACAATTTTCTAGGGACGCTGTCAATTATGGTGTCGAAGAGGTAAAGAATCCCACAAGGTAGAGGTCATACACATATTCCTGGTATCATTTATACAAATAGTTTTTACAATTAGTGCGTAAACAACCAGGCTAGCTACGCAACGTACGCAACCAGGCTAGCTACTGATTTCGCGCCGGATGGTTCGTAAACATTGATAACGCCCGTTTACAGAACTCTTCCTCTTTCTTTACTTCTGGGAGTCGGATTCTCTACCGTCGTTTACCTGATGACAAATGTTGCGTACCACGCAGTACTAACTACCGATCAGCTGCTTAGTAACACTGCTGTGGCTGAGGTAAGCTATTGAAGTTTGGTTGTTACGGTGTACGAACGTGCCATGTCATAATGTATGCGCGACCAAGTATATGGACCTGTAGCCATAATTATGGCAGTACCGGCGCAGTCGAATTTTTCCTACTTCACCTCAACGCATCCGACATAATTTGACAATTTGTCAGTAATCGTGGTTTAGGTTGGATACCCAATACTGTGACATTACGTTACACAGGCATTCGCTGAGGAAACACTCGGCAAGCAATGGAGTTGGATCGCATCCGTGTTTGTTGCGATTTCGGTGGTAGGCTCCATTAATGGCAACTTATTCGCATCTAGCAGGTAGTATATAGTTACTTATATAAGGTTATACCGATAGCAAAAGTGATTTGATAATATGTTGGATACGTTCATAACGTCTCATATATATATAT